GGAACCCAGCCAGCTGGAGAAGATGGAGCCGAAAGCAGCAGTTCTCAGCACAGCCCCCCCCAAACCTGTCCAGCGCCACTCATATGCAGACACTGGTACAAGGATTGGGAGTGACCAGGCCAAGACGACATGAAGGGCCAGTGAACATCCCACCAGAATTAGTCCTGTTGATGTTCCTGCCAAGAGAGTTTGAACAAACGGAGGTCAGGGGAGCGACCACGCTGAGTGCGTGAAAAGAAAGTCCACACAGCAGGCTTGGTGTCATGTGTGTCGATGGCGTGTGCATGCTTACCCCTCCAGCACCAAGCCATTTCCTGCCTGTCCTCAGACATCTCTGCGCACCTTTCGCTGAGCCGATCTGCACTCTGCCACATCTCGGGCTTCTGTCTCCAGATCCAAAGCCCCGGTCCCTCTATCTACCCTCCCGTGCTCTCTTCACTCTGCCCCCCCCTTCACAAATCACTGTTCATCAGAGGTGGGGCCAATGGGGAGCCAACAGCAGGGTGAGGCACTTCCTCTGTGACAGGAAACTAACAACAAATACCCAAAGACCACAGGCAGGGGGGGGGAGCACATGAGATGAAGAGATGCTGATGCCTGAAAGCTGTGTGTAGTTCACTCCAAGGTCAGTGTGTCTGATCCATGCTGCTTTAAACAAGAAATCTAAAGCCAAGAATTGTCACCAGGGTTGTGGGTTTTGTGGCATTTTAACAGTGAGCTCAGGTTGTCTGTGGGAAAAGCAGTCCGGACCAGTTCTGAGCCACTGCACAAACCATGCACATCTCCACCAGTCTCAGGAACATGTGAATGCATTACAGCCCCCAGCAAAACCCAGCCCAACAAGGCCCAGTCAGACCCATTCCCCACCACAGGCTATGGTGTTTTGGTGGAAGTGATTTTTACAAATGAGAAGCATGGAAGGTCCCTCTAAACTATCTGTCAGACTCCCTCACACACACAGGCCGGCTGTGGAGTCCTAATGCAGAGAGCTTATGTCCACTAGTTTAGTACGAATGAAGTAGTTTCCTGTTAATCTGGAGGAGAAAGTTTAGATTTCATAATCCGGCCAATCTTTTCGTTGAGAACTGGCTCTCTTCAGTCCGTTTTAGCTGAGCTCATGCCCAGAGAAACGGCTGAAGCTGGTCCAGATGAGCCTGCTCTTTGCATGGAGGAGCTGTGGCTGCTGTTCAGGAGGGATTCCAGCTCATGCTGTCGGCATGGACTGAAAGCTGACCAAAGGCCAAAGCATCTCTTTATTTTAGGCTTTTTTTCTCCTGGAAATGAAACATTTCCACACTCTATGTGGCATCCCTTCACGTGTCCATTCCACATGGAGGGGATTCTGACAGGGCTCCTCCGGGTCATCATGCATGTCCTCGGTTTTACCCTGAAACTGCATGAAAATGAACATGTTTTAAAAGAACTACGCTGAAGCTGTGACCCCCTCAGTGAGGCGAGAGAAGGATGCTGCACAGGTTGGTGTCAGGAAGTCAGATTAAAGATCGGGCAGAGGAAGTACATGGCTGGATGATGGAGCCAGCTCGTGTTCAAAGAGGGCAGATAAAGAGGAGTGGTCTGGATTGAACTGCTGGGTGGGGTGTCCACGGGGGATTGTTGTTTATGAAGGAGGTCTAATTCCACTTATCTCCACAGCATCCACTCTGACCACATCATTAACTCCAAACTGCACCCCCACAGTAATCACACAGTCAGGACATGTCGGACCTTATTTGGGCCGGGGTGGACCGGCTGCTTTGGCCCCGGGGGGTGGCAGCAGGGCCAACAGGGTGTTTATCTGTGCGTGAGGATGGGACTCATGCCTGATAAACCTTATCGTGACCACTCTGAATTTGTTTGTTTGTGGTGCTCTTTCCGTTTATGACTCAGTCCATCCTGACATAACTCTTTGTTTGACTGTTCTGGAAAGTTCTGGCCTGTGACATCAGTTGTGCTTTCCTCAGTTTCTTCCATTCCTGATGAATCCCCTTTCTTCAATTTGTGGCCTCAGCACTGTGCCACTGAATGGACCGAGCTCCTCATTCTGTGCACTTGGTATTGGAAGCTGTGTTTGCAGAAAGGAGGGATCTGCAACAGGAAATTCACAGTCACACAGGCAGGAAACGCTGTTGTTCAGACAGAGAGAGACATAAAAGGCATCACTGCTGCCTCTCAGCACACTGGTGTTCTCACAGCCTCATCATGCTTCAGCCACCCAACTGACTGCTTCACCTCTGCTGAAAGGAGGGAGGAAAGATAAAAAAGAAAGAAGAATGGAAGAAAGAAGGAGCAGCTGATCATGAAAACGGTCTAAAATGTTTTATAGGTTGTCAGATGCTGACAACCAGCATCTTAAACTAATCTTGAAACTCTGAAAGGTTTGCATGCGGTGGCCTATATCAACATTGTGCAGAATGTCGAATGACTGAGGAGAATGAAGATAGCAAAGACCCAGCAAAACAACACAGGGAAAGGAAGACGGAGTAGGAAACTAAGAAGAAAATGGAAACAAGACGATAGTGAAATAAAGCCATGAGGAAAAGACAGAACTAAAGAGAGAAACTAAAGATAAGTTAAACTAAAAGCAAGACATAATACTCGAGCATGCCCACAAAATAAGCTACAAGACTCAAATAAGAAGCACCACTCAGCAGCTTTGGCCCTCTGGTATGCTTATTTCCTGTGTTTTCACAGAGATATTTGGTTTAGGACTTTTTTCAGAAACTCAGCTGTTGAGAGGGGATTTTTTTTCATCATTTAAATGTATTTTGTTTGTGTTTTCTCCAATAAAGATACTTTGTTTTTGATCACAAGTGATTCTGTTTTGTCCCTGACCAGGTTTCTGGTCTTAACCAATTTTTTCTGATACCTTCATGTATGTTTTATTTTATGTTGAGTGTCTACTGTGTCTCAATAATCTTAATTCCATGGTTGAATAAAGGGTGGGAGACTAAAAACTGAGACTAAGAAGGATCAATAGAGTTTCTGTCTTTCCCAGTAAGCAAACCTGTCCTTTAAATATTAATTTGGCTCACAACAGAAAGCTTTGTGTGGCCTCTAAGTTACAGTAGTTTGATGGTGCACTGTGGAGTAACAATGTACCAAAGTATTAACACAGGAAAGTGGAGCCTTTTGACGCGCAGAAAGAAACTAAACCGTGTGAGCTTTGCACTGAGCCCTCCGGACCAGAGGGGGCGCTGTCCAGCAGACCCGAAGAAGATGAAGGACCACAACACTGAGCCCTCCGGACCAGAAGGGGCGCTGTCCAGCAGACCCGACGAAGAAGAAGAAGGACCACAACAGCAACAAGAAGACAAGAAGACGTGTGAGCGCGACCAGAGCAGAGGAGCTGCCGCCTCAGGGTTCAGGTAGGTGGGCTTTGGGTCTGGGGGTGGCAGCTTTGCGGGGAGCGGCCGTTTTTCCGGCTTCGGCCTCCGTAGCTCTGATGGCGCTCCGTGTGTTCACGTTAGCTGCTAAAGCTAGCTTCTGATCCAAGTCTGCGTGACGGCAGTAAAAGCAGAGCCTTTAGTTTGACTTGAATTTGCCCTGCTGACTCTGTCCAGAACCAAAGCGGAACACCATGACTCGTCACGGGAAGAACTGCACGGCCGGAGCCGTCTACACGTACCACGAGAAGCGGAAGGACACAGGTGGGTCCCGGACAGCCCAGCTCCCCGGCTAGCAGTCCCACGAACAGCACCCACTTTGAGGCACGAGTGTCGCCTCATTCAGCTCATTCCGTCCCGGTTCTTATTAAGCTTCTATGTGTGCTGCGTTTGGCGGATAAACACGTAGAAAGCGCCCCTGCTGAATCTCTGAATGGGGGTAGCCTGTAAACGTGATGTGTGCCCTGATCCTCCCCAGCGGCCTCTGGCTACGGAACGCAGAGCATTCGCCTGGGCAAGGATGCCATCAAGGACTTCGACTGCTGCTGCCTGTCCCTGCAGCCCTGCCAGAGTCCTGTGGTGACGTACGCCTGTCTGCATCACGCTCACACCAGCTCCACTTTTAGCACAGCCCTTAGTTAGGAACCACCTCAGCAGCAGTCTGCAAACACAGAAAGGATCCGCCTCCAGTCTGCCCCTATTGAGACACAGTAAAACACGAAGGCTGGCTTCAGTCCTGTGAGGAGCTCAGTGTCTGTTAGCTGAGTGACACCTCCTCTGCACACACTGCCACACGTGCTCTGTAACCTGAATGTCTGATCAATCTGCTCCTGTGTTGTGTCTCAGTCCAGATGGGTATCTGTACGAGAAACAGGCCATTCTCGAATACATTCTTCACCAGAAGATGGAAAATGCCAAGAAGATGAAGGTAAGTCCCTCTGTCTCAGACTGAGTAAATCTTCCCCAGGTGGTCCCAGCAGCATCCCCAGCTCCTGACCGGATGCTGCCGGCTTCATTAGAGCTGGGGGCCCCCTGAAGCCTTTGCCATAGTTCTGTACAGAATTGTTGACTTTATCCTTCAGGCCTACGAGAAGCAGAAGCAAGCACAGAAGAGCAGCCTGCAGCTGGAGTCCAAATCGGAGGAGAGGCAGAGGGTGGAGAGGTTTAAGAGCAGGGAGAACAGCATCGTGTCCAAACCCATCAACCCCTTCACTTCTGGTGCGTGCCTGTGTTCAGCTCTGCCCGTCACGCTGACCCCCGCTGACCCCCGCTGACCCTGGCTGTTTCCCCTTCAGGACAGAGCAAAGAGAGTGAGGGCAGCCGGGCGCAGAGCAGCTCAGGAGAAGCCCCCCCCGCCGGGCCAGCCTCCGCCTCCACCTCCACCTCCACCTCCACCCAGAGCCTGCCCAGCTTCTGGATTCCCTCTCTGACCCCAGAGGCCAAGCCCACCATTCTCAAAAAACCAGTATGTATCCTTGGCCTCATCTCTAGCCTTCTCACAGAGGGGGGGGGGGGGCTCTAGCGGGGTCTGGGGGGGGTAAAAGCCAGCTCTGGACTGCAGGCAGAGTTGAAACGCTGCAGTCCTGCCTGAGGGGGCGTGGCCTGAGGGGGCGGGGCCTGGCTCAGGGTCCCAGGCTGTGGTGGTTCTGGGCCGGCTGGCTGTCCTGCTGGAGCTCTCCCTGCATCAGCCCTCACTGACCGGGACACCCAGCTAGCCCGTGTGTGCTGGCCGCTGAGGCCGGGGGGAGCCCACAGCGGTGTGAGCACGTTCAGGGGCGGGAGGATTGTTGTGAGTGAGTGAGCTGACCGCGGTGCCTCTCTGTGCTCCATCGGTCAGAGTAAGGCTGTCTTATGCCCCATGTCTGGGAGAGCCATCAGGATGAACGAGCTGATCCCAGTGCGCTTCACCCCGCTGGACCCCAGTCTGGACAGAGTGGCCCTGCTGAACCGGCAGGTCAGTTTGTTTAGCGGCCTGCGTTTCAGCATCAGGCAAACAGAGGCGGGGGCAGTCTGACCCACGTCTGACATGAGGGCACGGTGTCCTGCCGGCCGGAGCCCGGCGGTCCGGCCTGCCGCGCTACGGCCGGAGGTGGAGCCTAGCGGCCGGCCTGGCGGCGTGCCCTCATGCCAACACCCGTTCCGTGTCCCCCCTCCCTCCCCAGGAGCGGTACGTGTGCGCCGTGACCAGAGACGTCCTGGGGAACAGCGTGCCCTGCGCCGTGCTGCGGCCCTCGTGAGTTCTGCTGTCAGGGGGAGGGTCAGCCGGCCTGCTGCTGCTAACACACACCCTGTCCTGTTCCAGGGGCTCCGTGGTGACGCAGGAGTGTGTGGAGAAGCTCATCAAGAAGGACATGACTGATCCAGTGACTGGAGACACATTAAGTGACAAAGACATCATACCACTGCAGAGGGTAGGCTCAGCTCTGGCCCCAGAGCAGTCCATGGCTGGACCCGCCTGGCCTGGGCTCTCCTCGTTGGTCACTGCACTTAAACTGAGCAGTAATGGGGGGCCCTTCCTCTTAAGCGGTGTGTTTCCATTTGTATGTGTGTTAATGGGGATGTTGTGGACGGCAGCTCTGAGGACACAGGTCCCGTCCAGCTGATGGCCTTAGCCCCCCTTTGCTGGGGTCTGTGCACTCAGCCTATGTGACATGTTTTACTGTTTTTATTTCTCCCAAAGACATCTGAAGCTTGTCTGCACCTCTTAGTTTGCTTCTTGGCTGGATCCTGAGGAGCCTTGAGCTTCTACTTTAGTGATTGGGGGCTGTATAAATGGGGGTGAAGTGAAGGGAGTGCAGAGGTGTGAAGCGGCTCTGATGGTGTGTTTGTGTCTTGGCAGGGTGGAACCGGCTTTGCAGCCTCTGGGGTTGATCTGAGTGCCAAAGAGGCTCGTCCCGTGATGCAGGTGTAGACCATAACCATCCTGTACCAAAGAGGGCTGACTCCCTCACCCTCTTCTTTTCTAACCCGTAGACCGCTCCTATCCATGTATTCATGTATAACGTCTGTTGAAATGTTGAACCTCAGTTGCTGTAGGTTGCATTTTTATGAAATAAATGTTGCTGATTCCACTTGGCTGAGTGTCACAAAGTTATTTGACAGGAATCTGATAGTAGGACACGATGCTCACTTCAACTGTATTTACACTTGGCAGAACATGATGGTTAAAGGTGGTCAAACTGGGCAGCAGCTTTCCCTGTTCCTGGTTTCCAGGCAGACATGTCAGCACCGGGTCACAGCTCCTCATGGTCCTCCACCCTCATCGCCCCGTAATCTGTGATGGTGCTAGTCCTCACATAGTCCATCTTGTCCAGCACTTCAGAGAGGGTCAACAGGCCATCCTGACGAGCAGAGCACAGAACA